GTTCATGTTTATTTCGCGTTTTTTTGACAAAAATAATATTTAAAAACATGTCTATACAAATGATAAAAGTATTAAAATTACATCCGCTTGAAATTTTTTATTTATATTGCCATATTTTTATTTAAAACATATTCTTTTCTCTCGCTTCGTTCATCATTACCAGCATAAAAAAAATCTCTGGTCGAGTTGCAATGCATTATGGGATACACTGGGTCAGGAAGGATCCATCAGACCTGTCCTTCGATTCGGGCTAAATGAAGGACGTATTTGTCGGCCGCATCAGAGGAGTCTTCAGTTTTGGACGGCCTTCGTCGCGGGGCTGTGACGTATGCGGCCGACAAATTCGGCCTCCGGAGGGCCCGGCCTGCCGTTTTGGACACAGCCTAGATATGTAGCTAGGTAGGTAGGTAGATTAGTGGGTAGGTGGGTTAGTGGGTATGTATTATCGGTTATTAAGACATTACTTACTAATCTTTTTATATACGATGATCATCCTTAGTTTCTATTTTCATGCCTGTCTATTTGAATGTATTGTGTTTTGGTTTTTTATGCGTGTTGTGTTGTCCTTAAATACTTTGTGCWACAAGGCTGTTTTAAAACTGTTCAAAATGAATAAATACATTTTAATTCATAATATTTCTGTTAAGCTACTATGTTGGTTGAAGGAGTCTGACATTTTTATGTAATTAATTTTTTTTTAATATTTTGTATTGTGCGCTTCATTGTCTTGGTCTTTCTTAAATCTTTCACCTGGACTTTGTGTCTCTGAGGACTGTTTGAACACAGCTGCAAATAAAATAATGCTTTCTTTGACCGTACTGAAGTTTTTTTCTCCTTCTATCAACACTTTAATCCTTGAACCATGAAGCCAGCTGCTGTGGACACATTTCCTCCTCTGACCTGTTATGTAGGCCTCATGTCTATTATCTCTGACCTGGAAGAAACCTGCAGTGTGTGTGTGTGTGTGTGTGTGTGTGTGTGTGTGTGCAGCTGGGTCTCACTGTCATTACTGAAGTCGTCCACCAGAATGATCTCATGGATTAGATGAACTGGAGTTCTATTTAAAACACTGGAGAAGAAGACAGAGCAGAGGATTAGTCAAATATGCAACAATACATCCAGAATGTTTGCCTGGTAATGCATGAATTATATGCAAAAATGCCAATCACACACACACACACACACACACACACACACACACACACACACACACACACACACACAGGTGCAGGTGAAGCCTTTATACATGCACAGCACAGCGTATGAAACAACATATTGAAATTGTCAGCCCAAATTCCCGTTATGAAAATGTATGATGTGTCGCATCTAAGAAACTATTTCATTAAAGCGGGAGATTGAAACATAAAAAATTCATAAGTTTTACAGGAGGAAAATGAGAAAATGTGTTTTGTTCTGGGAGGGTTTCAGCTCTATTTTATTTCATTATTTCTACTGTTCAATAACCTTTGTTCATTATCCCCTCTGGATATGACTGAGGAGGGAGGAGGGAGGACAAGGAACGGCTGGAGAGAAGGGTGGTGAGAGGATAGGGAGAAATACAGGATAAGGTAATGATTACAATTATAAATGGAATTTAGGGAGAAAAGAAAATGATCAAATAAAACAGGTAATAAAATGACTGGAAGGGATAATAAGGGAGGTGGAAGCAGAGAAAACAGAAGAGATAAGAGGAAAAATACATGAAACATGAGAAAACTATAGAGAATAAAATATCTGCCAGGACAAGAGAAAGAGCATCCAACAGGAAATAAGAATAGAAAAGAACGGTGGGATAAAAGAGGATAAAATGAAAAGAAAATGATATTCAGGCCATAATACAGCAGGTAAAATAAGTATTGAACACGTCACCATTTTTCTCAGTAAATATATTACTAGAGGTGCTAATGA